GGGACGGCTGGGGTCTGGCCCCGGGTGGAGGCGAAGGAGAGGGCGGGGCGGGTTTAAGAGTGGTGGGCCGGTGCGGACGTCCGAGGCGGCGCGGGACAAGCCCAGGTAAGGGTGCTCGCGCCCTGGCGGGCCCCCCTCCGGGCGAGGTGTGGCACGAGCTGGGGAAGTAGGGTGCGCCGCCCTAGGCTGGGTGGCCTCCTGCCCCCGCGCTCCGCACTGGGCCATGGCCGGCGTCCGGACACGTCGCGCCCGGAGGGTGACCTGGGGGCAGAGGCCCCCGGGAGGTCCTCTGGAGGAAGCCTCCGGGTCTCTCGGACCGGCTTAGGGGCTGAGGAAATGGGGGCGGTGCCCCAGCCTCTCCCTTTTCGCTGCTCCTTCCCTTTTCCCACAAATGGCCTCTGCTTGCACTTTCTGCCCTTTTGGGCCTCCAGCCGAGGCTGGTCCACTTCCTCAGTCCCTTAGCTGCCGCTGTGGTCAGCGTAAGAGCTGTAAATGTTGCAAAAAGTTATTAGTAACTTAAGAACTTGGACTGAACTGAGGCTGTGTTTCAGAAGTTGTTTGGACTGTTTTTGTTTGGTTTTGGTCCTGCTTGGAAATGAGCATAAAGTTGTCCTCCCCTACCCTCCGCCTGGCTCCTTAGTTCCTTTCTGATATGGGCTGACACTGAATGTGGCTCCTAATAGGAAGCACATGGGTTTGAGTGTTTGCCTGGACCAGGCTTGGACGCCTCTCTTGCCCTCTTTTAGGTGTATAAGGTTATCTGTGGTTGGTTCAGAACTGCTAGTGGCAGAGAGAGAGAGCTGCTGCACCCAGGCTGCTTGTTTGAGCAGTGTACTTTCTGTGCTAATTTTCAGGTGAATGCTGGAAATGTTGGAACTTTGATGTTATCAGGTGAAACTTCTGGAGAGAAGTTCTTGTATTTGGTGTTTCGAATGGCCAGTGGAAGAGACTTGACTGTTCATTTGAGTAATCTGTGACTTGATTTCAACCCTTATAGAACAGTGAAGTTTCTACTTTGTTCTAGTTCCCTAACCTCATTTTTTTGGGGGGGGGTTAGGTTTTGAGAATGGGTAGTGGGCACTGATGATCAGAAGGTATAGCATATCTTTCAGATGTGTAAATGACCCGTGTTCTAAGCAGAGCAACAGGATTCTTGGGTGTCAAAGCTCGAAATAGATTAAGGCAACGTTCCTTAAACCTGGAACCATATAATTAGAATATCAAATTTCTCAGATATGGTGTGACCCTGAAAGGTAGCCTTGAATATTGGGAAGAACACAAGGACGAGGTGTGAAGACCTAGGTTCTGAAACTTTATTAGTGGTGTGATCTTGAGCATGGTGTTTCACCTCTCTGTGCTGCAGAGTTCACAGTGGGAAAAAGGTGATAATAGTTACCCTACTTATTAGGATGAAAGGAAATAAGTAATGTTTGGGGTGTTCTTTGTGGTAGTAGGGGTGAGATGGTGGTAGGCGTGAGAATAAGGCCAAGGATACACGTCCCTTGTGTGTGGTTTTAGTTGCGACAGCTGGTCTATTTCTTTTGACCACATCTGGGTCTTTCTTTCCTTTTCTAGTCACGTTATTATTTCCCATTGTAAACAGTGGGTATTCTTATCTGAGATGTCAGCAAGGTTTCTCTAAGCCCAAGGGGTAGAATCTTTCCCAGGATTTTGTGTGGAAAAAAGTGGGGGGGGGGATAAGTTATTAAATATCTTTTGGGAATATGGGACCTGGACACATAAAGATAGGAGATTAAGAATTAGAACTGTAAATGGGGTCTAAATGGGTCTTGGTAGAAGGTGAAAAAGTGTAAAAGTTCTAATTTCTTGCCTTAATTCTTCAAAGTTCCTGTTATGGCTGAAGATGCCTCGAGATTCTGGAAGTTTGCAAACCAGAGAGTTGAGATAATTCTTTGTGCCACATCACCCAATCCCACAATACCTCTCTGCATTCAGTTATCAAATTTATGGACCTTAGAAACATAATTGGAGACCTTTCCTGAAAACTAAATTTGGAGACACTGTAACAACCTAGAACTGCCGCTCTGGGAGAGATGGAGGTGAACTCTCCTAAAACTTCCAGTGTAACTGGTCTCAAGAGGATACGCAATGGTCCCACTTTTCATTGGCTCCAATTCCAGATTTTCTTTGACTTAGTATGAGGTTATGTCCTGATAAGCCCATCATAGGTTGAAAATATCATAAGTCAAAAATATATTTAATACACGTAACCTACTGAACCTCAAACCTTAGCCTAGCCCACCTTAAACATGCCCAGAACACTTATAGTAGCCTCCAGTTGGGCAACATAATCTAACACAAAGCTAGTTTTATAATTAAGTGTTAAATGGCTCATGTAATGTATTGAATGCTGGACTCAGAGTGAAAAACAGGATGGCAGTATGGCCATGGGATGGGCGTGTATCAGCTGTTTATCCTCATGATCCCCTGGCTAACTGGGAGCTGCGGCTCACAAGAGAGTATCTACTACTTATCGCTAGCCCGGGAAAATATCAAAATTCAGAATTGGAAGCATGGTTTCTACGGAGCACATATCGCTTTTGCACCATCATAAAGTCCAAAGATCCTAAGTCGAATTGTTAAGTTGGGGGCAGTCTGTGCTTCTAAACAAACAGCCCCTTGGATTTTTTTTTTTAAGTGAATGCATGTTGCTGAGAAGTCTGAATGAGACAGAGCTGACCGAGTACCAGAGAAGATGGAACTCTTCCCTCATCATGCCGGAGGGGGCTGGGGTGGGTAAGGAGGCCGAGGGAAACTAATATTTACTGAGCATCAGCTGTCTGCTTGGCACAGACTCACTGATCTCACCAATACCAGATGAATATCTGGCCTTGGACGTTTGAATGTGAGCTGACTCCTGAGTTGTAGACAAATCTTTGGGGAGTTCTTGCCGTTTTAAAAAATGGAACTCTAAATGTAGAAAGAAAGGTGCTATTAATTGATCGTTGCTAATATTTTATTGTCTTTGTTGCTTTTGTCCGTGCTTTGTGGGCAATTTATATAGATACATTTTAAACCCACTAGATTGGGAATTGACATACAAAATACTAAGTTAGGTCTGATTCAAATTAAAATATTCCAAGCTATGTAATTTTGCTCAATATATGGCATGAGTTGAAGGAAAATAGTGGTTTGGGCCTGTGTGGCTGACTCCCTCTAAAGTTTGTTGGTCTTTTGAACGATTTTTCTACTTCTGGGTAATAAATTACCCCAAACTTAAAGCAACAGACATTTATAATCACCCAGTTTCTGAAGTTCAGGAATCTGGGAGCTGCTTGGCTGGGTGCTTCAGGTTCAGGTCTGGTCATCTGAAGGCTCGACTGAGGTCGGAGAATTATCTTCCAAGATAGCTTATCACGTGGCTATTGGCTGCAGGCCTGAGTTCCTCAGCAGGTGAGCCTCTCCATAGGACTCTTCCCAACACATTCTTAGGGCAAATAATGTGAGAGGGAGAGAGAGCGAGAAAGACAATGATCAAGATAGAAACTGCACTGTCTTGGTACGTGATCTTGGACGTGATGTACAGCCATAGACCACCCCGGTACAATGTGGAAGTGGACTACACTGGGGAGGCTTGGGGACCATTGGCATTCTTGGAGGCTCACTACCACAATTTCTTGTCTAAGGTTTTGTTTCATGTGCATACTGAAGTATGTACTATAGGGGATTAAAATACAGCTGGAGTCTTTCCTAGTCTAGAAACTTTTTAGTATTATACTTGAAACTTTATGTTCTTTCTTTTGGTCCTTCCTTCTCATATGCTAGAATTAAATTAGACAAATATGCAGTAGCTTTGGAAATTAGAAATTAAAACCTCACTGGTCCCTAAACCAAATGGAACAGCTTAGTTTTTTTTTTTAACCCTAAAACAAACTGGTAAAAAAAATTGTTGCCAAAATGATCTCTGTGATGTACAGCTTAAAATTAGTCATTAATCATCTGTGTATTTTTAAAAGTAAAACCCACTGGGAAAGTAGCTGAAAAAATCTTGGAGAACATAGACCCTATACCCTTCCACCAGTTACCTTGAATCTTTGGACAATATTTATTTGCTTAGCAATTCTTCATTTCGGTTTTGAAATGCTAATACATTTTAATTATCCACCTGGACAGAGGGGCCTTATTCTTTTAGCTTCTGGATGAAATCTTTCTGAAGTGTCTGTACATGGAGAGAAGAATTTAGGAATCCTGAGCCTGAAGCCTGATTAAATGACCTCTAGGTTTCTTTCCATCCTTACAAAATTCTATGATTCTGGTATTTTTCACATAATAAATGTCCTGTGACTCAAGCATATTGATAATAAGAGGCTTCATAAATCATGTTAAATGTAACTTTAGAAAATGAAGTCTTCTGAGAATTGCTTTTGTTCATTCCAACCCAGTTGAAGGTTGGAGTCACCATCAGGCAGTCTGGGAAAGTCAGCACAATTTACCTTTCCTTTCTTCCTATTTTTGGCTGTTTTCCCACTCCCTGCCCTAATTTATGAGCTAGTATCTTTGTTTTCTTTTATCCTACCTCTCCCATCATCCCCCTCCTTCCTTCCACCCCCTACCCCCTACCAGTAAAAACAGGAAAAGATTGGTGGCCAGTCAATTATTGTGGATTAGCTGATCCTGTTATTAGAAATGGATTTTAGCCAATGTGGTACCTCTACTCACACTTGGATATTAAGCCTTTTTTTATTTTTTATTTTATTTTTAAAAATTAATTAATAATTTTTTAATTGAAGTACGATCAGTTACAATGTGTCAATTTCTGGTGTACAGCACAATGTCCCAGTCATTCATATACATACATATACTCAATTTCATTAAGCCTTTTTAAAATCTCGAATTATATGTGTTCATTCATTAAGAGCTGCCATTTTTTTAACTTCTAAGAAATCTACACCCATTTCCAATGTGGGTTATGTGTGTGGGGCTACACTACCAAGAAATTCTCTGACACCAGCTGGGCGTCGTACAATTCAACTTAGTTCTGAAACTGCCTACCCGGAGGTGGCATCAGATTCCACAGGTTAAGGGCTCAGTCCCAAAAGACTACCCTCTGCTTCAGATGCCAGTCACAAGCCCAGGTTTTAGCC